TTCCACGCAACACATGTCAAGTCCCCGCCGAATGTTTGAGGTCTAATGTAATGGAGTAAAGCCGCACTATCGCGATCCCAGATGTGGATATCGCCCGCTGTGTCCGAGTATTCATAAGTACAGTTTTTAGACGAAGCCGACAGACGTACCTTTTCCTGCGCATAACACTAGCTGGTCCTCCTTGCCGCCAAAGTAGCTAGAGCCCGCGATATCCACCTGAGCTTTGGGCAGATACGTATGACGGAGAAGTAGCCTAGCGACTTGTGCAAACGAGTGTTGTTCACGACCTCTGGCATCCCGTACCAGCTCCATCTTCCACAACTGTGGAGGTGTCTACGAATACGATATAAGTGATCAGAATATGTAAAGATATCGTGACTCTCGGTACCTTGCGCTCAAAAGAAATCAGCACGTTTCCACCCCTTTTGGATATCGTGATGTCACGCACGTCGTTCACGACGGGTGTCTGACTTTTGAAACTCCATCAGTAAAGATATTCGAAAAGATGAAGGTAAGTCACCTTTCGAATTGTTTAGTCTCAATATTGAAAACTAGGGTATACGAAGTCAACCAGATGGCCTATGGACATGCACAACGCTCACCTATTATGCGTTTTTCAACCCTAGTGGTGCGGCTTGGATGCAATCCATTAGGTGCGGCAAGGAGTGGACCCACACCCAGTAGCCGTTGACCATCTGGAGTCACAGCCACATTGTGCAGCTGAATGCGACCAAAGTGATACGAATCAAGAACCTTGAAATATGTTCAGTCGGGATTCGGCTGACACCGAGTAATTTGATCACACCTTTCCTTGGATGTCCTGAAGAAAGAGTTCACGATTTATCAGTGCATACACAAATAACGACAGTTGTGCTAACCAGTTTAAAAACATCACTACCTTCGACGGAGAAGAAATGCGCTGTTGTAAAGCATCAGTAACGTACAACCAGACAGGACAATAAAACGAATTACTGTCGCTGTTAGGCAGCCATGCAATAGATGACACAGAGTGCGGCCGGTCGATTGTTCTCTTACTGAGTCCATCCTCCGTCCAGACCTTGATTCCGCGAGTTAATCTCGTCAAGAGAATGGTACCGGTCGCAGACCTGTCCGATCACATTTGAACATTTGCATTTAAAGATAGTGAAACACTCGCTGCATACCATGCAACTTGGCCGATAAAACCTCGCACATGTACCAGAACAGCCTGAGTTGAAAAAGATTCCTGGGCAAGATTAATGTAAACGATGTTTGTAAAGCGCAACACCACATATGCTTACCCCGACACGAAAAATGATAGAAGACCGATCCCAACTTGACGCAGCATATCAGCCTAAGAAGCCGCAAAGAAATCATAACACACCTTGACGTAGCGAGATATTTTCCGTTTGGGGAGAACTGTAGATGCCGAACAAGGGCAGTATGTATGGAAAGGTCCTGTATGGGTTCCAAAGTTCTCAGCTTTGGGATCAACGTGGAAACTCTCTGTCCTCGAATGGTGTTCAAACCGATGGACGAGAATCGGGTGGGAGACATTCCCGCAGTGGAGTTCCGGTCAAAGGAAGGTGTCCGTGGCGGCATGAAGGGCCGTAGATACAGCGGGACCTGCCCCGCTTGCTGTTGCTGCATCATGATGACAGAACGAACAGCTCCCTTAAAGCGCTGGCGGGCAATGGATCGACGGGAAGACTCGCTCTCCTCACTCGCAGGTGCATCCAAAGAATTGGGACGCTCGGTGTAATCCGAGCACATAGATAAAGCTGGTTCGTGGTGGTGAGAAATTTCAAGCATCTGCGGGCCCTCCTGTGTGGTGGGAAGAGTATGGTGCTTATGTCTGAACCGCGTAATCGCATTGGTTACCTTCTTGAAAGACACTCGTCTTATCAAGCCGCGGATCGCCAAGATGCGTTGATTGCAGTAATGGATGATCTTTCGCACTTCCACAACAGCAGAAAGGAGGAGCATGCGGTGGGTTGTTTCATTTATCACATCCTCCAACCACACATGACCGCGGTGCTGAACGAATATCCAGCGTTCTGAGGCGAACCAAGCGGAGACGGCAGCCAGGCCGAAGGAAGTGACAGCCTGGGAATAAGTAAGCACGCAATTCAGAAGCGCAGAGCTATCAATAGACTTACTGTAAAAACAGTGGTGATTGTGGACGTAACAAAACCCTGACCAAAATATGACGTTTTAGACACGCGTCCATCAGTAGAATAAGACCCCATACCTGATCTGTAGCGTATGTGAAAAGCATCAAGCCCGCGGAAAAGCATGCCACAGACATGACGAGAAAGACTAAAGGCGATCGCTTAATCCATATCAATACCCACCAAGGTACCCTATGTCCCGGAGAACGACTGAATGGCTGTCATTAGACATGAGTACAGGTAGGACGAATGATAAACTTACTACATGGCTTGCTTCCAGGTGAGACCGAGGAGACTGTTCACTGCGGCTGCTATACTGAAAACCAACGAGGAGAACCAGAACGCATTAACAGACTTCTCCAGCACTCCATCCGTCAACTGGTATGAGAATTGTAAGGTCGTTGCTGTCACAGCTGAGAAGAACGTCGCGACTGTCGACAGGTTTAGCAGGTTTGCTGCTGCATGCTGCTGGGCGAACCTAATCGTCGGTACGCCTGGAGAACATAAGTTTGGAAGTGCTAAGGATGGATTGTATGTATACCGATTTCAATAAACATCGACAGATTGACCGTGATGTTGTCGATGTGCTCCCCAATTTCCGATGTCAAATCGTGGATATAGCGCTGCACTGCTGGATACCGAAATTGACCTGAAACTAGTTGAGAAGATTGTCCAATGCAAGCCCATGCAGACACGTTACCTTTGTACTCCTGAAGACACGATGCCCAATACTAAAAAATACGGTTAACGGAGAATAATGTAACATACCAAAGAGTTCACCTTGAGATCGACTTCGAAAGCACGCATTGACGTATTGACTGCCTCATCTGTAAACTCCGGAAACTCGTTCAAGCAGTTCAGGAACGTTACGACATCTTCTGCGAAACTAGCGAATTGACCAGGAAAACTTTCGGGATCAAGACCGTCATCGTGTATGGGCCTGAGCGGGGGTTGTTGACCTCTCCATGTACGTCGTCGGTCCATCAAGTTAGGGTTAACTAATGTTTCCCGAGGTTGACGCGAAATTTTCCGAGGGAATAGCGTAGCTGCGTTCTCGCGAAATAGAAACAATAATTTTGTGAGGCGTTCCCGTAGTCGAAAAGCAGAGGACAATATTCCAACGGAACTGCCAAGTTGGCGCGCAGCGTTAGCGAAGTTCCGGAGCTACATGGGAGGTGAGCGCTAAAGCATGAGAGCTGCACCTGGTCGTACCTCTTTGTCAAGATTATCCATTCGCCTGTGCAGACTAGTCAGTGCAAGGAGACAAAACAACAATGTGGGTCTTGCCTCTCGAATTTATTAAATAATTCTGACCCTGCAACTTGCAGTTTTTCATCCACAGTAGCTGAAAACAACTCAGGCCAAGATTGAGCGACGCACTGAAGACCACTCACGGACATCTCGGTCATCTTCGAAGTTAGAAGGAAGGTTGGCATCTAACATAGACAATTAACAGTGTATGATGGCCAGCGGGGACGACTGACCATTGTCTGAAGACGCCTCGTTGCTAAGCTCGCTCAGGACATCCAAAAGACTAATGATTGTCTGCTTCCGTCTCGGGTCCGTAAATGCTTCACTTCGAGTGTAGGGGCTTGAGGTTGCGTCATGGAAAGAACGAGCAGCATGTGCTGCTCCTGTGCCTTCAACATAAGTGAGAATGGTCAAAACTGCTCTACTGGAGGACGTACCGCGAAACATAGAGAGAAAACACTACCGTGTTTGCTGCAGCGATCGTCCCTGGGTATTATAGGCGCAAGGATCGGATCCTAGTTTGATGTTGAAATGGGGAACTAAAGTAAGGCTCTGAAATATGCTTCAAACGGCAGAACGGCCTAGGCGAGCACCGCATGTAGAAGTCGTGATTTGAAAGCGAAATTCATACGCTGAACGTCTCAGTGAGGAATTATTTAAGATGACGGCATGTTATCGCTAGACTCACTGAACTCAGCGATTCGGAGCGTGACAGCCTCGAGGAAGAATACGAAGCACCGGTGACCCTGACGTGGAGCTGCGCTGATCTATAGTAGAGTGCTGTCAAGCTGATAGGAAGATAATAAGTGAATCTACGGTGAATCATTCTCAAAATACATAAGCACGGGACAGAATAATGGGCAAAAAAATTGGCGAGATAATAGGGACGGGTTTCAAGGGCAACGTGTAGACGTAAAAACGGTGTGATCGGGTACTGATGGATCAGACGTGCGGAACCAACGTGTTTGCAAGTAAGTGAATTATCAAAGGATGACCATAGATGGACGAGTAGTAGAAGCCTGTGGCCGCGGAGGTGAAACTTTTGTTAAATGGACTAACATATTTGGGTTGAACTGAAGAGGTAGCCTGCAGGAATCGGATATGGCTGTCAGAGACGCGATGGTCAGTGCTCAGTCAGAAGCAAACGACCACGTACAGGACAGTATTACACTTTCAGAGCCTTATCATAGCTTCCAGTACAGCTCTATCTCCTGCGCGGAGAACTCCGTAAAAGGAGGCCATGATCTCAGACTTCCCAGGCTGCTACGGAGTGAGGTATCAAAAGGGCTCCATGACGTGGTCCGCAACTGGTGAAAGATATCCCGAAACCGTTTAGACCGGTTGTTTCAGTGGAAAAGTAAAAGATCCCTCGAATATTTCTGCCATAGTGCTGCCGCTGGTATCAAAAAAATGTGGTAGGAGCGTGCTGCATCGTCGTCGTCTCAATCGATTGGGCATGTGACGGAGCATGTGACATTGACCAACTCGTTATGCCAAAAAAGGGAAGTTCGATTGCTCTTGAGTTCCTTCCCTCACTGAGTGCGGTAGATCCAGTCCAACTCATCCGTAGTAGAGGACACCTTAACGCACTCATGAACCATGCGGATCCTTTCATGGAACATTGTAAGAAATGATCTTAATTCCTTCACGAAAGAATGTACTCTGACATTCTGCTTTGGCCGACAGAATGGTGTCAGAACTCTTCCTCAATATCACCCGTGAGTTATCCATGATTTCCACCTGGTTTCCAAGGGACTAAAAACCATAGATGGAATACCTTCACTTCATTTCAGGCAATTCTGGAACATCTCAAGGCAGATATAATCTGCTTTCAAGGTGCGGGTTGTTCATTCATTTCACCTTCCCCTGTCAAATGCCCAAACCTTATCTATCCAAGAAATGAAAACCTCGCGTTCCGGCCTGTCACGCTGTGCTGCTTTACCAGACGATTTTGAAGCTTTCTTCTCCTTCCCACAGAATAAAGGAGGGTATAGTGGTGTCGCGGTTTACGCTAACTCCCGCACTGTCATTCCCCTCCGGGCAGAGGAGGGTCTCTCCGGCATCTTGCAGCCTAAACCACCTCTGACGTCGGATGATCGGATATCTCGTTCATATCCCTGCGCACATGAAATCGAACTAATGCCGGACGAGCATGGATCAACCCCAAGCGATTTCGCTGCCTTAGATGCTGAAGGCCGTGCCCTGATCGTAGACTTTGGCCTATTCGTACTGATTAACGTCTATTGTCCAAACGAAACTTCTGATGCTCGTCTTCCTTTCAAAATAAATTTCCATGTCATGCTGCAGGATCGAGTCGAAAAGCTCATGAATGAAGGCCGGGAAGTTGTGGTCGTCGGTGACATCAATGTTTGCGCAACGCCATTGGACCATTGCGACGGTCATCTTGCTAGTAACACTGCAACTTTCTACGACCATCCTGCTCGTGCGTGGTTTCATAGGTGGTTGAGTCCTATTGGTTGCATGACAGATGCCGTGCGGACATTCTGGCCTGGCAGAAAGGCAATGTACACATGTAAGACGCAAGTGTGGTTGATCTCTTCCCATCTTTAATATACTTTTTATGTTAGGTTGGAACACGAAAATTTCAGCTCGAGAGACCAATTATGGTACCCGGGTTGACTACATTCTCGTTACACCCGGTATGCTTCCCTGGATCAAGCACGGAGACATTCAGCCATCGCTCAAAGGCTCTGATCACTGTCCAATATATATCGATCTTCATGACGAAATAACAACTGACGCTGGCGAACGATTATTTCTCCGTGACGTCTTGCCAATCGACAAGAATCGGGAAGACCTGCCTCGGCTCGCAGCACGACGATGGGAAGAGTATTCCGGGAAGCAGAAACTGCTGTCCATGTTTTTTGAGAAAGGGAACAAGCCGCATCCACCTAGCAATTCTCCGCTTTCGTCGCTTTCGCCCACTCCAGACACACAACTGCCCAGGGATTATTCTGGTGCTGCACAGCCCAATCACACGCAGTCTGCCATTCTTATTCCATCTCCAAATTCCTCGCTGAGATCTCGTAATGCGGCGTGCGCATCCACGAGTCAGCTCCCCGAACCATTGCTACAGTCGAATCCCAGTCAGTCACGCCAAACTGAGCCCCCAGCTAGTTCTACCAAACGCAAGTCATCAGACAATGCAGCCAAGAAAGCGCCCAAGAAATTGAAAGGTGGTCAAAGCAAACTCTCCTCGTTCTTTGCGCAACCGACAGTCTCGCATCCTTGCAGCCAAGAAATTTCTCCGAGCGAGGTCACCGATTACCAGGACTACATAGATTCCGACCATCAGCTCGCACTCGAGCTTGCCGCTTCGCTTGAAAATCCACTTTCACAGGGCTTAGCTACCTCAGCGACGCCTTCGGCTTCGCAGAGTAAAGCGGCGTGGTCACAGCTGATGGCTCCCATCCAACCACCAAATTGTCTTGTACACGGTGAACCTGCGAAGGAGCACACCGTTAACAAGCCGAGTTCAAACAAAGGGAAAACTTTTTTCCTCTGTTCAAGGTCTGTCCCATCATGACCCTTCATTTCGCCTCTATCTAATTCCTTTCATTTAGACCTGTCGGCCCGGGGTATGACAAAGGTAAAAGCGAACGTCTTCGCGAAGAGGTGGATCACCGATACCGATGCAATTTTTTTAAATGGGGCAACGACGTCAGACGGGAAGCCAAAGACAAATTTTCCGCCTCATGAAATCAAAAACAGCCTCGAAGCAAATTACACTGGTTGCATACACATACATACCTCGGGCCACGGTTGCTCTTGTCCTTCATTAGGCATTTATTTTAGGGTGTCATTGCATGAGCATCAGACACGTGTTTGGTGCGTGGTTTACACGATATAACCACGAGGCTGACATCCATCCACGACAAATCCACGAAGATAATTATACCTTTTGTACCTCTGAGTGCTATGATCCGCAACTCAACGCGCGGATGATAGACTATAATAATAATATGTTCATTATGTAGGCTGTTGGTCCGGGACTATTCTCCCCTTTAGCGCACGACAAATGCGCTTCACGGCAGCCACCACTTTCTTGACGTTAAGCGAAATGCATAAAATTTTTGCGTACGACATGGCGGCTATATTATAGAATAACAAAATACGAAGCGCAATCCGCCTACACGGCAGCAGCGACGATGACGTGGGGCGGCAGACATTAGACGGACGGCTAACTTGATCCTCGGATCTGTTTCTTGGCAGTTCCAATCATGGTATTATTTACCTACAAAAGGCTTAGAAGTCACCACATGGAACAACGATGGGGTTCACCTTCGTCGCGAATCGCAAGGAGCAGAGAGACTCATTCAGATGTGCCGCCAGCGGCGAGAGGTTCAAGATCATCTGCCACAAAATCATGTCATACTAACATCTCCATAATCAGATCCCGCGCTTACCAGGGTCTTGGAATTTCCGCTCAACGAGTTTTGCAACAAATACGTCAGCTAGGAACCTCATCAGCGTCGATCAGAAGGCATGGGGCCAAGAAGCCCGCAAATCACCTTTGAATTCCTATATGGAATGTGCTTCTCTCCTTTTTCTGCTTTTTCGCCTAGTGCAGCGATGACATCCCCGAGCGCACTCAAGCTCTTGTTAATGTTTTGCGTCTCTTTCAGTCGGTCTCTGTCCCCTGCAGCCCCACTCGAGTTGAGGCGCTCGCTACCAGCCAGATCCACGAGATTGAGGCTGCCTTCACAGCTCTCACCGGTGTGGGTGTTTGTACCAGAGATCCGGAGTGTGAAGACAGAGTGCGAACGCGATGAACGCTCGTTCATCAGGGTAGCTGCCACGGTGCGCCGGGAGTTAGCGACACGGAGGAGGGAGGTAACAGACGCTGGAGATTGCAAAGGCATCACGTTCACATCAGTGACACGAGTACCCGACTTGTCGTGCTTGATCTCATGCTTCTTCTTGTCGAACTCACCCTTGCCGAGGAGGTCGTTGATTGTTTCGTTGTACTGCGCATTTCCTCAATTGAGTCTCTGCAGTATAACGACAAGATACGCACAATCTCGAGGAACTGGCCGTCCATCTTGTACTCCCATCCTTTGGACTTCAGGTCATCGGCAGCTTTGAATACCTGATCCACTGCGCGAGGTATCATACCTGTCGTGGCCTCGGTCTAAAAAAATAGTGGGTGAGACATATGAAGTCTACACGAAAAAAAATGTATACCGATCCGCCTTCCATAGTGAAAGACTTGCCAGAACCTGTTTGGCCATAAGCAAATATGCAGACATTATAACCGTCCACACAGCTCTGAGCGAGGAATGAAATCTCTTCAAAAACTTCGATCTGGGTCGATTCAGGTTCGAATACCTGAGGAAGAGCAACCTCAAGATCGTGCAGGCATTGTTAGGAGAGAACGAACCCGGTCAAAACCAAAGTTGTAGATTTCTTTGCGCTCAGAGCCCATGGCGCTGGAGCTCGAAGAGGAAACGACAATCTCCTTGTGATCCCTTTTGTCAGGAAATGTTATATCAGCTTCCCGTCCCTTTTCCTCGTCATCAGAAGTTAGGTTGCTGGTGAACGAAGATGAGGGTGACAAGTCTGATGTGAGGACAGGGCGAACTCGACAGAACACCCGAATGTTGCCCTTGAGCTCCTGAACCATATTGTGCAGCTTCCGGCGTACCATCTCGCTTTCCCTGGCGTCTTGCTCGAGGTCCAATATTCGTCGATGCGCGGTTTCGAGATCGAGCGTCTTGTCTGAGGAGGTGGTCATTAAAGCATCGAGCTGCATCTGCGTAGCAGCCTTTTGTGCCTGGAGAGCATTGATTTGCGCATTGAGAGCAATATGTGAGGTAGACTGATGTGATAGTGTTGCCTTGAGGTTTGACACGTTATCTCTCTCCCTCTCCAAATCACTCTTCGCCAGCCTCAACTCATCTGCAAGCTCTCTTGCCTCTCGAGCTTTACTTTTTGCTTCCATCTCGAGCTCCATGATCTCCTTAGCATGCTTCATGCGCAACTTCTCGATTTCATCGCTTGCGCTCACCAACTCTCTCCGTTTATCAAGCTCAAGTGACTTGGCGTTGGCGAGCTCGAGTGATAGAGCACGATGGTTCGCTTCGAGCTCGGCTACTTTGGCGCGCTCCGCATCCATAGTTTGGGCTAGCTTTTCAGCATTAGCAAGCTGTGTGGATTCGATGGAAGCGACCTGGTTTTTCAGGTCACGGAACTCTTTTGTTTGTAATTCACTTCCGCTAGCGACTCGCGATGCTGAAATGACACGTCCCGGAGGACGTAGTCCTGTTGACAAACCAAGTTGTTTTGGTGGTGCACTAGTTGCACGAGTTGTCCGCCGTGGTGCTGACGTTGATAATTTCGGTGGTTCGGGTCTTGTGAGGCGTTGTGGACCTGACGGCTGTTTCGCCACAGGGCCTGTATTTGTAGTTGGTCTATTGAGAGCGCTTCGGCTTGCAGCTAAAGGACGAGCTATGGCACCATTACCAATTGCTGGGAGTTTGCGGGGTTGATCAAGAGCCTCTGCATCCAGATCATCTTCTGCTTTGCGTTTGTAGCCCAACGTCGACGTCGACATGGAGAAGCCTAGTGTAGTAGTGATAGAAGGGATTGGCGGGTCTGACGGGTCTGGAGAGGACCTTAGGCGCGGTAACCGCGACATTACGAAACGTTGAATCTGGACTTTCAAACACTTTGGGAAATCAAGTAACATTTTGGCGACGCGTCGGAGCACGTGATTTTAAATAACCCCTTCAAGGGGGGTGGGACTCGGATCGCAACAAAATTCATATATTGGAAGTTCATACAGGTTCATACTTACTCGTCTTGCAATGTTGACGCTCTCGGTGCGCTGCCAGCGCGTCTCCTGCCAACTGTTTGCTTCGTCGTCCACGACTCCGCTCGCTCAGACGCGTAGCTATGCGACACAGCCAAAGAAAGGACAGATCGTAAAGCAGGCTTGTAAGTCCGCATTCACGTTAATTTAATATTGAACGTTCAAAATGCATGTGGGCTATAGCGCAGGGATTCAAGGGGAAGAAGAACACTCCTTCAGGTCAGATGGAACATGGAAAGAAGGATAAGAAAATGATGGTCTGTTCTCGTTCTTTGAATATGAATCATAGCCCGACTTCCGTCCGTTAGGCCTTCCAACCGTTGCCTGTCTCACAACTTCCGCACCCGTTATTTGAGAGTGATCGTCCAGACACCCTTGCCTTGCAGTCATTCCATCCCGTATGTTTCAAGTCTCTTTTCCGTGTATGTTGGATTGATGCTTCCTAACAGGAAATGCTTACGAGGGTTGTCGAGTCTCAAGCACTCAAATTCCCCCATAATGAAAGTGATCCCTTCCGTATCTTTGGGTTACCGAGAAATATCCTTGTTGAGGTTCGTGGAATGTCACATTAACGCACAGGTAAATTGATCAGTTTGCTCTTTAGTTCCGCCTGCTTTCCAAGCCCTGCAGCGTTATACGTTCTGTGACAATCGACGCAATTAACAAGTTAGACGCGGCAAGTGATAAGAACAGCAAGGAGTCTAGGGTTGTCTTGAGTATGCTTCTAGTATATCCGTCACAGGTTTTCATTGACATCTTTTCAGCTGGACCCCAGGGCTGTGGAAAGAGTTATCTTCTCCTGCAAGCCTTACAGTATTGCAATGCTCGCGATTGGCTAGTCCTCTACATCCCTCGAGGTCTGTACTTTCTAGACTTCTATCACAAGGCTAATCCCTGATATCTCCCATAGCAACTAATCTTGTCAACTCCACAACTGCCTACACTTACGATATGCGAACTCGAACATACTCTCAGCCAATCTTTGCTTATCAAACTCTCCAGCGCTTTCTCAAGGTCAATGCACTCCGGCTTGAACAGTTACGCACCCAGACCGAGATAGAAATAGAACGTCGCCCTCCGGTGCCCCCTGGCACACCCCTCGTGGAGCTCATTAATATTGGCCTCAAGGATCAGGGTCATGCTCCGACAGTGCTTGGTGCTGTGCTAGAAGAAATTGGGAAGCAGACAATGTGAGCCATTTCGTCTTCTCCGTGTCCAAGACAAGCATAGTCTCAACGGATGGATCATAGTTTCCCGGTGCTTCTGGCGGTTGATGACTTCCAGGCATTATATTGCAAGTCGCACTATCGTGACCAACATTTTTCGGCTATCAAGTCGTACCATCTTTCAATGCCACGCCTTCTGCTCGAGTACGCATCTGGACAGAAGTCATTTGTAAGTGCCTATGAAAATTTGAGCGCCTCGTTATCTGAATGGAATAAAAATTAGGCCCGTGGTGCAGTCTTTGGTGCGATCTCGATGGGTAACACAACATTCCCACTACCTCTGGAGCTCCGCGAAGCTCTTTCTCTCGAGCATGACCGTCCCTATGGACCATATGTCAAGCGACAACCGGAGCTCGTAGAATACGCCCGCGGCCTCGAGAGGCTGGCAGTACCCGGTAGCCTGAGCGTGCCCGAAGCAGCATCGGTTTTCGAGGTGTGGATGAAGGACCGGGCAGTGCCTTCAAGTGAGTAGTGTTCTTCATTCATTTACTTTTGAGAGGGTTTGACAATTTAAAACAGAACCCAATGATGAATTGTTTCTGACAAAATATAGCGAGGCTAGCGGGAATGCAAGAGCGTTTGTTTGGAAGGGATTGTTGTCGTCCATGTCAGCATAGTAAAGCATACCTTTTATGTTATCTGGGTGCGCACCATCGATGGTCTGACGTTGCCTTTTTATGAGGGCATCCTGATTCAGTCAGGGAGTGCTTGTCTACAGAACCATACTAGAAGCCGTAATGGGGTCTCACTTGAAGAACCTCGTACGATTTTAGCGTGATTCATTGATGTGCGAATTGAACGCAATTTGACGGACTATGCCTTTTGTTGCGCTAGCTATCGAATGGCAAGAAATACGTTATGTGGTGGGTTTTCGATGTGCTCACAATTCCATTCAAGTTCGCACACATGCGCTCACCATGGGGAATGGCTGCGGCCATGCTTGAAACTATTCAAGAACAGGTTCCTAATGGTCGATGCCTATGAAATCACTCATGACCTTTCCTGTTTCTTCCTCCTCGTGCACTGAGGCTACGTCATCGTATTTGAGCATACCATCTTGTTCACCACTTTATACACACTAATAGAACACATCATGAACTCTCGCTAATTTTACCCTAAACACATGCCAAGTCATAGATGCTATCTAGGATCTCCTTCTCGTTTTGTGTGTTGTTGGGTGCATGTCCGTGGCATATCGCGGCCAAATGCACAAATAGCTGGGACAGGTGTGTCCGCGCCTTCTTCAGTAAAGTGAATTGATGCATATATATAACATTTTTATTCTGCGCCTGACGAGAAGTGGATATCTCGTTTCGCTCGTGCAAATCGTCCAAGAATTTCCGACTCCTGCAGTGCACAGTTCGAGTCAAGGGCGCAGTGCGTATTTGGACTTGTTTTTTTCGCGCACGTACTGTCTGAGAACTGGTTGTACAGTGACTGTCATGCATTATGCCTTTGTGTTACCTGATTCACTCCAGTTCGTCTTTCTTGTGTTCACAACCCGCAATCTTGATTTTTCTAGCAGAGGCCAGGTTTAGAGCTATTAATACAATGAAGAAGTAGTATCGACCTTCTGGCCGAACTCCGATGGTTCTGTAGGCGTCATCAGGGGTGTACTAGTACTATTGGGTTTCGCTGTCATATGAGCGGGTAGAGGGGACTTTGTCATAACGGTATCGGCGTCCGTTTTTAATCTTTCTTTAAACCAATCGCCGTTGATTTGCTGATTTGATAAGGATCTCCGCTGTTTGTTTGGACCGTATCGCATCTCGAGCGACCTTGGGAGTTGTGATGGGACCTGTGGTGCCTGCTTTGCTCTTTCGTCTGCGCATTCCTTCCGTAGTACCTTAGAGTGGCCTGGCGCCCAGTAATGGTGAGTCGCCGTCTGTCATTTCGTGGGATGGATGGTCCAAGTTTGTCGTGGTCATTGTCCATTGTAGTGTCCTGAATTTGCGCTGGACGTCGATCCGTTACTTTGATCGTTGTCCTTACAACTTACATCTTTCTCCACTGGCAAGATCATTCATTCCCCCGATCTCTGCTTCATTTTCTCCCTGGTCTCTGGTGGACTTGCTTCCAGCTTACCGCTTCATCTCCCTCATTATGACTGCTTGTCCTATGTACCACCCTTCCCTTGGTCATAGGGTGGTAGGGACTTCGCGCTCTTCGCAACTCAACTAATTGAACATTGAACAGTTTGTGATTGGGGTTCCTGGTCTAGCGTCAAACAGGCTACTAGTGTAACGTGTTATGCCGTCAAGTTTGGACTTGTAGAGACACGGCGATTTCGCTGACACCGTCAGCTAACGTCATCTCTTGCTTATAAGGCACGTTGGAGTCTTGATTCTGCTTCGTCCTAACTTGGTCTTTAATACCAATGTCCGGAGAAACGCTTTCACTTCCCGCTCCATCTGATGAACAGGCGTACATGTATGTATCTGCCCTTGAAGGTGGACACATGAACGTTCCTTTGGACTTAATTCTTGCTGGTGATCAACCGGACGAACCGATAGTTTGCCCCTCGCTTGCATTCTTCCTACGTCACTCGAAGAGCAATAAACGAGTCGTCTTCGATCTAGGTATTCGCAGAGACATAAAAGAGTTTGCGCCTGCTGCAACAGAAAGGTTCTTGCCTACTGTAAATCAGACGGTGGCAGAGTCTTTGGAGGCGGGTGGTGTTCAACCCTCCTCCGTTGACGTGGTAGTCTTGAGTCACCTCCATTGGGATCAGTGAGCCGTTCAGCGTTTAAGGTGGTATGCATTTCCTAATTTCCATCAGCGTCGGAGATCCCTCCCTATTTACTACAGCCGAGTTTGTGCTCGGGGAAGGATCGAAGAAAGCTTTAGCGGACCCTGGCTCCTGCCACAATCCTGCAGCCTTTACATCTGTTCGTGTGCCGGAAGACCGTTTACGTTTCATCACAACTTTGGACCTAAACGTGGCAATTGGTCCCTACCCTTGCGCAATGGATATCTTCGGTGATGGCAGCATGTATATCATTGATGCATCAGGTCTCTCTCTAGTGCACGCATGGGACTAGGGAACATCACTTAGGCTTCTTTTTTGCAGGGCATGTTGCCGGGCATATTAACATTCTTGCGCGCACTTCCCAAGATGGTGCTTGGATCTTGCTAGGTGCGGATTCGGCTCATCACCCTGATCTTATCACGGGGAAAATGCAGATTGCGTACCGTGTCGACCCGAATACGTGCTCGGTGATGTGTGTGCACGAAGATAAGGAAGCCGCAGAGGAGAATATTCGTAGAATGAGGTCACTGTTAGAGGTCCCGAGGGTGCAGGTTCTGATTTCACATGATATATACTGGTATCAAGAAAACAAGAACAAAGACGTCTTCTTACCGCACGTAATACCGCCGCTCGTACAGTGATGGATAGTGGATGACTCCTGTAGTACTCGCACCAAAACGTGCGAGCACACCTTCACATTGAGAAACAAATGAGTCTCGCTTGTCACGGAAGAATCTGCGTAGTACAGAACAAGGTAGTGTTAATACACATGACGTCAAGTAGCGGAGTATGATTGACAGCTACGGCCTGTTACCATATATAGTCATTTCCCTTCGTACCGGCGCCTCAGCCGCTCTTCCCTTAGTCCGACCGAGGCCTGAGGGTACGTCCATCCCATTGTCTCCCTACGATAACAACACACTGTAATAGTGTTTACTGGTGTCTATGCGCTTAAAATCAGTCTGTTCCATCGAGACTGAGGTGCTTATAGTTACCGATGGCGAGGATGGCACGGAAGTCACCCGTGTGCTATGCTTGTTCCCCTTCCGTCATGCAGATATGTGTGCCTTGTTCTCCGGTACACTTGTTCAAGCTTGTCTTTGACGAGCACGATCTTGGAATGGAATGTGGATAGTCAATCATTTCTCGACGACTTAGAGCCGGACACTCTGCAGCTCCCAATCAGAAGTGCATGTCGACACGATCGTTCGCGCAACTCACATCTTTGGCGAGGTATTTGTCCCAAAAAAAACCAAGTACGTTCCATGAGACTCTGGCTATATTTACTGCGGGTTCCATGCTAACAAATTCGCAGATCACCATTCCTTAGAAATAGCACCTCCAGTGCATTATTCACAAACTTGGTCACGTCACTTATGACGGCTGTCCCGGCTTCTACGGTTTTTTCTTCCCTTCCGGTCATGTGAAGTGACCGCACCACTTCCAGTGCAAAACTATCACAAATACCGACATTCGCGCCTACGAATGGTACAGTATCTCGCACTCATCTCCCTCAAACTTAACACCATAAAATTGACTCTTTATATACATGCAAACCATTGCAAATTTTTCACACATGGGAGCTCAAGCGCTCCAATGCACAAGATGACAAGACGACATCGCCTTGAGAATTTTACAAAAAAATACTCACTATCTTAACAATGTCCCTCGGAAGTGGAAATCGCGATAGAAAGGAACGACGAATGTGATAAACTCTTCCCATTTTTTTCGGGATCAATCTTTTGGCAAAGTTCGAAGCAAAGCACTCCTAACAGACTTTTTTAGATCATCCAGCATATTGACCAACAGGTACAACTCCCCAATGACTCCCCAAAACACTGACAGTGCATCACACCGTGAGATGCACGGCGTCTCACTATTGATAAAATAGTAACATTTCGCATTGTTTGCTGCCTCAGGCTACCGCTTCTATCTGATCGTTCAAAATTTCCCCGACGTCCAGGCCGTTGCAAACCACTAAATATGTGACGAGTTTGATCATGGGATGGACTACTAGACGCAGATCCTCATAGCCAGCTACCAGGCGGCTCAATTCTTGACATGCCCTATGTGGGCTGAACTTCTGAAGGACGGGCGGGAATGTCCGTACCACAAGCCAATGCTACTTGTCTAGAGACCACAGGATCCGAGTCCTACCCCCGCCGTCCATGCCACATCTGGCTGATGCATCAAACTAATGAACAAGGCATTACCAGAGGGCACTAGAATTGGTAATCATTATATCAAATCTTTGGCCAGGCGCCCCACGTTCGTATCAAGATCCGAGACAGTCCATTTTGATTGGGGAGGTGATTATGTCTTGACCTCGCAACGGTGTTCTGCGTCTTATTTTCCTCAAATGCTCCATTGGCACATTTGCAGCAAAATGATGTTTTCATTTCGGCGAACAGCGTTGGATGACATTGTCAGCACTGCAATTCTCCGTGGAATACGGGACGTTGTACTTCGGTGATAACCTATATGAAGGTGATCGGGCTGGTCACTGCGAGATCAATCTGATGGAACTAAGTGCACCAATCAGGCACAGGCTAATCCGAGTCAGTAACAAGCTTCACAAAGTATTGTTGAGCACTGCCCTTGTATGAATGCAAAGCAGCATCGCCATCCAAACCATGAGGGCTGGGTGGCACTTTTGTGGATGGTGCTCTGCCCCATCACGCCAACATTCTTGGGGTCGCTTCCCCAATTATTTATTCATGCCCGTTTACAACGGTGAATTAAGGGCTTTTTGGGCTTGGCGGTGTTCTTCAATCCTCCGTTCTGCGAGTGCAGCCATTTCTCCGTGCGTCTTTTCTGCCATCAACGCCCTTTAACACCGTGTAGGTTTGATAAAATCCGGAGGTGATGGATTTGCTAGACAACAGTCGCCTGGGCATTCTTCCGGACCCCCTCAACCCCGCTGCAGCCGCAGGTATTGTCCTTCATTGAACCACAAATAGACCAACTGGGTCAATTACTCCACCCAGATGTGGAGATGCCCTTCATTAACGAATAAGTACTGTTCTTGCTGATGGTAGCATGAACCCCGAAGGCCATCTTAATTTAGGTACAATTAAATTCCCATTGCGACATCATAATAAAACCGCTCGTCATAATACATACCAGAATACACCAACCTCGATTGAGACATACGTGTCAAATGAAGAGTTTGCGAGCTTTCTCAAACGGAGTGACGGAGTCCACCAAGCTGGTATCCTGCGCCCGCAGCAGCGACTAGTCCTTTATTGGACTGACCGCTAACTTGAATAATATTAGTGACGTTTGCTATCGCAAAGTCTACAAGCAGCTCGCCTAAACCTGATTCGCCTATGGCGCCTACGTTGGCGTCTCTACAAGCGTCTATCTGCGAGTGTGTTTGTCTCCTGGAGTCGGGTATTTCCTCCAAACAGACGACTCGCTGTGCTGAGATTGTGGCTTTACATTCCTTCCGGCTGGATGGGCGAACCGCACGAGTATACACTGCCACTGCACCAATCCCAAACACCAGCCCTAGTGCCGGTAAAAAATGAGCAATGCCTTGTGATCATGATCACTGCCGAGGCCGAACACCAATCATGACGGTTGTCATTACCCTCAACAGGCGAAGCTATCGGCTATGATGTGTTTGGCGGCCCACTGGACCTGCTCATACCGCCACTGGGCACTGATGACTTCCTGGCTGCAATGTGGACATGATCATCAGCTAGTTGTCATACGTGTGCAGGCAATTCTCTTTTGGAAAACGGCGTTTGAATAACAAGCTGGATTGCCGCAGGGGGGCAGTAGGAACTATCCGGTCCAACAACATGAATTTAGGGACGTTCGCACATTTTATAACGTTTCATGCTGTAGAAAAAGTAAAAGGGTAGGTTAGGAGCCGTTTGTAACTTAAAATTCCAATCAGACGTGTCTTTGAATGCGTTTTATAATGTGCATGCGGCTCATATGACATGTCATACGCAATATGAATACGTAAGATGCGAAGCAGGAGGGTGGTACAATCAAACTGTTGAGGGGTACAGCATCTACATTCGAGTCAATATAAGGGTTGGGCAACGAGGAAACAGGGGGACGCACAATGCGGACGCTTTCACCAAATGCGCGTGGAGGAAGGTTAGATCTGAATTTTGATTTCACAACGCCGGAGTTGCCGTGTGGACGGGTGACACGACTGCAATTACAAACATAGTTATGAGACCAACTGCACTACTGTTGCAAATAACGGACAGACGTACCCCCAAATTACACGAACCTTCGATCCCTGTATCTCCCTCTTAGCTTTGTAGACGTATGCTACACGCTGTACACAAAACTGAGTCTATCTTTGAATGTAGAAAAGGGGAATGAAGGCGTACCTTGCCGAGGTAGAACTGGGCATCCTCCTTCGTTGTGACACCCTCGATCTGGATGAGGGAGGTGTTGGGGCGAGTGTTGCGCTTAGCACGCTTGTGGCTGAGGACGCGTCCCTTCGAGTAGAGTCTGTGCATCAAGAGAAAGCATGAGTACAGTCTTGACCTTGCACCGAGAAGCACTTCATCCGTATCAGATCTAAGCCATCCACCCTGTTGCAAGCCATCCACTGGGATCTTCACCAACGGAGTACGCAAATACGACACAGCGAAGCAAGCCAAGCAGATACTGACCTTGTTGAACCCATTTTGCCGTCTAGAAATCTTCCGCCGTGTCGAGGTCGCTGAACTTGAGGATGAATGGAAGGTAGCGTGACAACGTCACAGTGTAGTAACACGTAACACGTGACCATGTCACTTTTCACAAAGTATAAAGTGCGTCAAATATTTTTTTAATCTACTAGTCATCGTTGCAGACGTCTAGTGCTGCACTTGACGACGTCTTTACCAGACATTGTCGAGTAACGGAGCGATGGGACATAGAAGCTTTCGTTTTGTATAAGCAGCTGACTGTAGTAGAACTTGTTCTACGATGGCATTGCAGTTTACCACAGAATGAAACTACATCCTTCTCAACTTATCATGTGTCTTCGCGGGATCTTGGCTATTCGTGTTCAACTCAATAATAATAACAATAAGACATGGCGACTTCAGGTGCTCAGACTGGCCAGGCCTTTTATTGTCCGGCCGCCTTGGTCCGGCCCTTAATCCTAGGCTTACAGCAGTCGAGACTTTATAACTCAACCACAGCAACAGACTTTCAAGCACCCTACACATATACTCTTCCAAGGCTTCAGTGAACTCAAAGTCAGTTTGATTGCCAAATGAATCGGGTTGGCCCTTCAGTTTGGCGGCGCTTCTCTTCTACATCCTCGTCTCCAACTTTCTCAGCCAAACCTGCACCTTCCAAAGCACGTCATCATGTCCAAATTCCAGATACTTCCTTTCCGCTTGGCTATAGCCTGACTGGTGTACATTGCGGCGTGAAAAAGAATCCATCTGTTCTTGATCTAACAGTTATACTTTCGACCTCTTCAAAACCTACTTCCGCAGCGGCATGCTTCACTCGTAACGCATTCCTTGCTGCCCCGGTGCTCGTCAGCCAGGATGTACTTGAGAAAAGTGCTGGCCATGTCCGTGCGATCGTGACTAACAGTGGATGTGCCAACGCAGTGACTGGCAAGCAGGGTTTGGAAGATGCTTGGGCCATGGTCAAGGCCACCGATGCCCTTCTCCCCAAACGATCCAAGTCAGAGTCTGACAAAGATATCCACGATACAGTCGTAATGTCGACAGGTGTGATTGGCCAAAATCTTCCCATTTCCAAGATTCTCTCCGGAAT